AGATTAGACAATTTATAAATTAAAGTATCTGATTTCAGAGTCACTGCTCCTAGGTTTAAATCCCGAAGACCTGTTCGTAAATTGTATTTGTCGGGGAGATTCCTGCGCGAGAAGAGACATAACAGAATACGTGAGCGAATGAATACCTGGTTTAACAAAATATAAAACTAAAACTCAAATTGTCATTACGACTTTGTAGTTTTGTTTTTAACATCGACAGTTGTAGGATATTACATGAATTCGGTCTACAAAACTGACCGGGTTTTCCTTACATCCTGTGACATTTTCCCTCCCTCTTACACAACCTATTGTACCGGCGGTTCTGTTCCACTTGATGCAAATTGCTTTAGCGCAATCCAAAGCAAATTTAAAACAATACGATTCATTCGCGTTGACCTTATTTTAGCATTTGCTCAGTAATCGAGATTATCAATTTCCATCTACAAATTTTTATCTGTGAATTTTTAGTCATTAATTTCTATCATAGGAATAAATTACTAAAAAAGTATAGCTAATAATATAAATGTATTAATACCCACATACTTCCCACGTTAAGTTTAGTGTATCAATAAATATCTACTATTAAAAATCATAACAATCAACAAATATTAGCAATAAATTACCGAGAAATCTGTAAATTAGCGCTCCAAATCGATAAGAATCAAGAAAAAATATATACCGGAACGATTGCGTGCCGATCGAATTATTGACGTGTATCTCCCGGACACATTGAGCATCTACGCACGTACTAACAGATGTTCACATTTAATTTCAACTTATTGTTCTTGTATTAAGGTGGAATTCGCAATAGTTGTGGTTTTATTTACATTAATGGCACTAAGGATGAATCGATTCTGATTCGGAATTAAAAGCAATTAACACTTTAAATATTCGATCGAGGATAAAAAATGATATTTGGCATCACTAGTTTCACACTGGAAAGTCTTAATTGGTGATTTTGATGAAATTGTTCGTGCGTCATATGATTCATATTTCATAGAATAATATTATAGAGGGTTTTTTAATTAGTGGTAGGTATATTTGGTAAAATAGAGTTCTAGACGTTGGTAGTAGATTTAAATATTACGACAACAATCCAGAAGGACTCGTTCCCTTTGGATTATCTATCGTCGTAAGGAAGCTTTTTTTAAAGCCAGCTTGACCTGATGGTAAGTGGCGATGCGGCAGAAGATTGCAAAGCACCCTGACTTAGCTAAAGAAAAGCCTATACACTCTTGCCTTAAAGACACCCACATTGTAATCGCATGGAAAGACAGATGCTGGCAAATTATTTTCAAGCGTCTCGCAGCACATTCAAGCTGGGGTGCGAAAAAATGCACAGAAAATAACACTTTATACTACAGACGCGGAGATCGCGTTATTTTCTCTGTTCTGTCTGCTACTACATGTAAACCCCACACTTGTGTGTGTGTGATGTGTGTGTGTGTGTGTGTGTGTGTGTGTGTGTGTGTGTGTGTGTGTGTGTGTGTGTGTGTGTGTGTGTGTGTTGCTAGATGCTTGTATGAAGTTTACATACTCTCATTCACTCTGATTAAACGTATTTCATACTCTGTGCCAATACGCCTTTATTGTACTTCGTTTTCTTACTTTACTAAGTTTAAAACAAGCGGTAAAATTAAAAATTTTGTACAACCGACTTCAAAATAAATAATATGAGAACATCATCAATATAGTCGAACATAGTCAATTAAATACGCATTATTAAGGATAACTCAAAAACTACTGGTCAGATCTTGATCAAATTTATATGGGACCACATGAGAAGCTGTCAAATAAAAAAAGAATCATCAAAATCGGTTTAACTTGAAAAAACCTTCTCTAACACAATAAAAAAAACAGTCGAATTGAGGCCTTTTATGAAGTCGGTTGAAAACAAACTAATAACAATAAAAAATATAGAGATTGTTGAGTCAAGTTTTAAAGTAAAGTCGTTTGATATTTATATGAACTTTATGTGACGCTACAAGAATTTAAAAATAATCGTGGTTTTGATTACCATAGAATCTGCACGCAAAGTTGCTTAATTTCAAATGTAATCGTGAGTATTGAGGCGCCAGCATGCTATTTACATCTGAGTATTTTGTTCGTCAGCCATATTTTTTCACGAGACCTAGAAGTCAATTACTGCAATTCGATTTGGCTTGCGCTATACGAACAGTTATTAATTGGCTTGATTTCGAATGTATGTAAGTCATCGTGCACCATTAACTCTTTTAATAGGTGGTAGGTCTCTTTTTCTGTCTAAAAGTCCAAAGAAAACGAAGGTTACCAACCTCTTACCTATTTCTGCCGCCAAATAGCAGTGCTTGCTTTGCTGTGTATCTGAAGTGTATAGAGAGTCAACATAACTAAAGGTCGCGGTACGTAAGTCTAGCGCTGAACGAAACGTGGAGGGGACGCGCACGAATTGAATTGCACGAATGCGACTGGAGAGCCAATCAGCGCGTGCGAACGATACGCACAAGCCAATCAGCGCGACTTATGCGCAATAACGTTCACTGCTAGACTTTCGTGCCGCTACTTATACATGCTGTGACACATTTCAATTTAGTACTAAAAGGTGACAACGCATCTGTAGCCATCTTTGTATGAAGTTGGTCGCGGATGCCCAAGGGCTGCAGTAACCACTTACCATCAAGTGAACTGTAAATTCGATTGTCAAATCAGTTTTATGAAAAAATATAACTAAAAGAGTATCTGCTACCATAAATAGGTTTGATTACGAAACCTTTTTTTTTTCATAATTTGGAATCTTACAAATTTATTTTTTAGATATAAATATTACAATATTGGACTAGCTGTTCCCCGTGACTTCGCCCGCGTGTAATTTAGGGTTTCAATTTTTTGTGCGGAACCCTAATTCTTTTTCTAACATAAAATAGCCTAAGTTTACGCCTTATAACACCGGCTATCGACTAGTGAAAGTCACGTCAATACTCATTCTCCGAAATGGACCGACCATTTTGGAGATTAGCCGGGAGAAACAGACAAATAGACAACAAAATTTTTTTTTTTATATACTTTTAATACGAAGCTGTTATTTTGATATTACAAACAGACACTTCAATTTTATTTATTTGTCTAGATTTGGATTATTTCAAGAAATACAGTTCGATTCAACAAAACGTTTGATATGATGCGTATATTTCGACTGATATTTTGACTTCTTTTATCGTCAGTGTAAAACAAGCAGTCCTTGATATGATAATTGGAAAGTTGTAGAGTGAACTGTTTGATTTTATACTGTTTCCTATTCTTCAATTAAAATCATTATTTATGCGATATCTGTCGATTAGACCAATGTTTGTACAATTTGAAATATTTATAAAGAAAAGTTTTTTTTTTTTTACCTTAAACCGTTATATCGTAGACGAAGTAAAAGATAGAGAATGACCTATTTTCTGCAGTGAGGTACCTATTGATATAAATATAGTATCAATCAATACTTGATATCCATCCATCGTCCATTCATTACAGCCCATAAAAGTCCACTGCTGAACGTAGGCCTCCCGCATTGGGGGGATTTTGTCATAGTACTAAGCTTGGCAGGCGGGTTGGCAACCGCAGTTTTTGAAACGATGTTCTTTATCGGACGGTACGGATTTGCCGGACGGGGGCTAGGCGACAAAAAGTGTAAAAATTTTCCGTCACGACGGCTATGGGGAAAGGAGATGGAATAATATCCATCTCACTCGCACTTTTTCTTATGTTGCCATGAAATAAATATTATTTTATTCTAAGTGACTCTACATTTTAATAGACGCTAGTAATTAGCTAGTAAAATTTGTATTTTTTAAACAATAATGTAATACCTTTATCAATAATAATATATTACGAAAGGTACTTCGTTCCAACGGAGTGTTCCACGACACTCACGCATGTTTTTTTTTTACAATTAGAAGTTGTTATCAAGAAGATGCTGTTGCCAGTCTCCCGGTTTAGTTTCCCTCTGTCGCCTCTTACGACACCCATGGGACGATATGGGGCTAGTGAATGTGCTTACACCTCCACTACATGGTTAGATACTTGATACATCTGCTGCCATATAACCTATAGGTGTAAGCAGAGTAAATAAAACTTACGAACTCTTTTGAAATAGATAATTTTTGGAGAACATTGAATATATTCTTTTGGAGCCATAGAAGCTTAGTTGCTTAGTGGTTGTCATAAATTTCACAGTAAAGGCCGGCAAAGCATCTGCAATTCCCACCCTGGTGTTGCAGTTGTTCATGGGCGGCGGTAGTCACTTACAATCAGGTGAGCCGCATGCTCGTTTGCCCCTTCTCCTATATAAAAAAAAAACGCGAGCAGCTTGGGCTCGACTCCCACTGGCATCAATGAGATTGTTAATTGCAATATTAAGTGCTGTTTTATCACGTGCTCGACGGTAACGGACAACAACGCGAGGAAAATCTAAGGAAATAATCTGAGATATAAAAAGTAAAATAAAAATATATCTACAAAATGTGAAAGCAACACACATTGGAGTGCCACTTGCTTGTCCAAAAACCTTCTCAGAAACAAGAGGCTGACAGCTGTGGGACGTAGGTATATAAGCTGTAGTTTTAACTTTTTTTGTATAATATAAGGGTGACAAACGAGCGCACAGTCCATTTGATATTAAGCGGATACTGTGGCCCATATGCATGTAGATGCATATGGGCCACTTACGTAGCACGAATCGGTCAACGCGACCGGGGTAGGACCACGCACTCAAAGAATACCATGCTGCTGCGTTTCGTATGGTGAATGTAGAGAACCGGAGACCTTTATTACTGAAAACGAGGCATTTCATATTAGTCTTCACAGGTGACAACGCATCTGCATTTTTGATTCTAAATCGAGGATAAACGTAGAGGTTTATAGGCCACAACATCTATTTATCATTTGTAGGCCTGTGTGCTCGTTTGTCACCCTCATTCTATAAAAAAGGAATTTGGTATTTTATAGCTACGTGAATTTTGTATTTCAATGTTTACCTTACAACCTTCACAGGTAAAGGCGCCGAAGTGGAAACCAGCCGCTGGCTCACCACACACTTTGCACTTTTGGTTCATCTGAAAAAAAAAACCACATATTACTTTATACTATATTACTTTCGTGTCTTAAGATTATAAAAAAAAACAAGATTTCCTGCAGCTGTTTGAATGTAGAATAATAACGGAATCTTATAACTTATCATTAATTAATTCTTTCAGATTTTATCTTGTTAAATTAAGTTATTTAAAGTATAACATATCATACATTATTATTAATTATTTATATGTATTTATCGGGATAATTAACAAGATTATTTAAGTGTTATTCAGCTTGGAAAATCGTTATTTCTTATTTAATATTAAACTACACTAACTATACTACACTACAAGATAATTCTAATAGATTTTAGAAATAATTTGATGCTGATCCTGAATTTACCAGAGACTAATTTAGATGAATGTCTGTAAAACGTTTTTAAATTACGTCATAGGTTATAACGATGAAAGAAGTCTTGTACTCGTATTCTATAATTTCAAGAACTAAAATATTTAATTTACAAATTTAAGAAAATATATAAATATATATGATAAAATAATTACTATAGAAGCCTGTTTACATGATTAATAAATAAAAAAATAATCACCTAACAATGTAGCGGTGGTAGGTAAACGTATACTCAATATGGTTGCTCTTATCGGTCGACATAAATGAGTACGTAACTGAAAACCGCCACAGAAACCCAATTCAGTGTTAATACGCCGTGACCGAGATCGGCCATTTTCCAATCAGTCATTTAGTTGTTAATTTCGAGGACCACGGCGCATGTTATTGGTAGAGGTAGCGATAACTTGTGTGTCGATAAATGATTTAAAAAATAGTTTACAATTCGTCATAAAAAACTGCTTAATTTCAATTTTTTTTTATTCCAAATTTGAAAATTACGGAGTTTTTTCGGCCTTAATTAAATATATAAAAAAATTATTAATTTGGAAGCTTGTATACGTATCAGGCCGTCGTTCGTCTGCCATGTTGGCGAACTTCACGTGACCTTGAAATATTCTTCTACCACATAACTGTTAAAACTGTTGGTTTCCGTAGAGAGAAAAAAGTAGGTGTCCATAACTTACTTCTTTCTTGTACTTAATACTGTGATAGGTAACTGTGATAAGGCCATGCTGCAGTTGTATCATTACAGCAGAATGAATGGGTCGGCTCAACCATAGAAAGACCACGTTCTCACAGAATATCAGCGTGAAAAAGCAGCTTAATTTGTTGTGTTGTCGTATGGTAAGTGTAGAGAACCGGTAACCCTTTTTCTGGAAACGAGGCATTCTACCTTAGTTCTCATGGGGCGACAAATCGTCTGCATTTTGATTCTTAATGAAGAATGATGTAGGTTTATATGGCTATCATCCACATTGGCTTACCATGAAGTGAAATGTGTGTCTGATTTGTTACTTTTATTGTATAAAAATATAAATAATTTTAATGGATTATATTTTGTAAGAATTTTAATACGTGGTCTTAATTTTTAAACTTCTAAAATATTTGTAATAGTTAGCGGATTGTCACTATTAACTGGAATATATAACGCTGTAAGTTTAATAACAACTGAATTTATTATTACGCGTTTAACACTGAATGCAATTAACAATAAATTGTAAAATTATTACAATGTGTATGATTACATTATATTGCCACTAAGTATGAAACTTCTGTTCCAAGGTAAAAAAAACAATGGTTTAATTTTAGTTTTCAGTATGTTATATATTTTTCTAAAGAACGTGTTAAGTTAATTACACGTATTATTATATAATAGCCAGTAATATAAACTGGCTAGTTAAGCGATAAAATCTAGTGCGATGCTAGGTATGAACCTTTTGTTAGTAGTAGTGATTTGGTAGAATTAATGAGGGTATTAAACCTTTTGGAATAAAATAGAATTATTTTTATTTGGAGTAGATTACAAGCTATATTTATTAAGTCTTTGTGCTTTTACCACTGAAGGTATTTCTACACTAACTTTTTACGTTTCGAGCAATAGTTGAATTCACCTGAGACTGAAAAATCTAGGTTCCGTGAGTTGCAGTCTGTGGACAGTCAACAACTAAGGTAAGGGTTACTTCCGCCGTATTTTTACTAAAACTCGAAAGGAGGTCAGATATTAAGCATTTATTGTATCCTTTTGAAGGTAAACGTGGGTTCGGACCTGCTGCTGGCATAAAACTAACCAATTATTTTAAAATGTTTACAATGTACTCCTGACCTTTAATGATATGACTACGCGAAGTTATATTATCAATTGAAGAATATATCTTGAAGTAAATAACATAATTTCAAATAAAAATTTTTGTACAACTGACTTCAATATAAATTATTAAGAATAACTCTGTATAATCTGTCAGATCTTGATCACATGTGAAGCACCAGCTTTCAAATAAAAAAAGAATCATCGAAATCGGTTCACTCAGTAAAAAGTTATGAGGTAACACACATAAAAAAACATACAGTCGAATTGAGTACAGTCTCCTTTTTGAAGTCGGTAGAAAAAGTATGTGTAAACGCAGTTTTTCTAATTGCCTCGGAATATGGTGCCAATTTTAGAACCCCTCGGAATAAGGTGCCTTTACCTTCGGTGTTACGACTCTTTTTCTGCTTACGAGTTCGTAGGTAGACTCTTGACTATTTCTGCTTCCAAGTAGCAGAGCGTTCACTCTTGTGTTCGGGTATGAAGGGTGTATAGCGCCAGTATAATTACAAGGTTTTTTTTTTTTTTTATAAGATAAGGGTGACAATCGAGCACACAGTCCACCTGATGGTAAGTGGTTGCTGCGGCCCATAGACATCTACATCTATCCTCGTTTGCGAATCAAAATGCAGATGCGTTGTCACCCGTGAGGACTAAGATGGAATGCCTCATTTCCAGTAAAAAGGGCCTCCGGCCACCTGCACTCACCAAGCGAAACGCAGAGGTAAACCTCTACTTCACGTTGGTATTCTGTGAGGTCGTGGTACCACCCCGGTTCGAGCCGGCCCATCCGTGCGACAGCAAAAGACGCCGTGTGGCTCTACCACTGTTAGGTGTGAGGTATTCTATCTTAGTCCTCAGATGTGGCAACGTATATGTAACCTTCTTACTTTGAAGTCGGTTGCAGGTGTTAATAAGCAGCAGAGGCCACTAACCATCAGGTCGACTGTTAGTTCGCTATATATAGAATATGTAGAAAGAATGAATGAGGAAAGGGTGACAAAGCAAATTTATGTTGCAGAGGTGAACGGCAGAGTCGGGAAGGGACGCCCTAGGTGAAAGTTTATCAACCAAATTGGCGATATATTGAAAATGGGCCAAATCAAGAGTACCTTTCACCAACGAGTGTGTATGCGTAGGTATACGGATGTGGAGAAAATGGGAGAGGTGTGTCAGGATCGTGCCAAATGGAAGCCCATAGTCTCTGCCTACCCCTCTGGGTGATAGGCGTGAGTATTTATGTATGTATGTATATATTCTGGTATATTCGAACTTCGTTACCTTTTTTCTCATTATTAGTTTAATTTCGCTGCACTACCTCCCATATGTTTATCTCTGCTTAGCCTAATGGTTGACTGGGAGAGAATGCCTAAAGGCATTAAGTCCGCCATGTGTACCATTTTTCTTTTGTGCATAAAAGTTTAAAGAAAATTAAATATATATTATAGTATAAATTATAGTATAAAAAATTATTATAGTATAAAAAATTAAATATATATAATAGTCGAAGGTTGTTACACAGTAAACAGTTATAAAACTCGACATAAGTGCTGTTCGTTTTATTTGTCTGTTCGTTTGATTATTCTTTGTACAATGAATGATACAGGTGGGCACGATGACTCGCGTCGCTCCCAGCCGCGATGCTCCAAGCCTCGGGGAATAAATCGCCGAGATGGAACCGATTATGTTATAAAGGAAAATACGATAGGCCTCGGACTGTTAATTTATGTGTTTAAGACGAAGTGGAATGCTAATTTATTTAGCGCTTAGTTGTGTTTCGACCTCTTCGACTAATAGTATAATAGCGTGTCTATGATTTTGAGTAATGAAATTTAATTGCAAAGACTTTTAAAAAAGTTAAAGTTACAGCCTTATACGTCCCACTGCTGGGCATAAACCTCCACTCGTTTCTGAGAGGGTTTTAGGGCAAGGAAATGTCCTCCGCGCTGCACCAATGCTTGTTGGCGAAATTCATATGTTTTCGAGAATTGGCAGGCGGGTTGGCAATTTTAACAATTGGGTTTTTCTTTTGTCACACATTACGCATTCAGCTAAATGTTTGGGGTACATAATGCGAAATTAAAAGGTTTTCAAATTCGAATCCATGATTCTTTGATACTGTCGCGAACATTTTAACAAAAATTTCAAAAATAATTTTAAGTTTATTTGGAATACTTAACGTGATTATTAGCAGTGTTAATAAAAAATACAACCGTATATTATAACTGTGAAGTGGGTGTACAAAATTCATATTCATTCTGAATTTATATAGTATGAATTCGTTATTTACTTTTATAAGCTAATAACAATATATTTTATTTCTAATAAAAATAATGATTTTTGCGTCAAACAACCCTTTAAAAAACTCGACAAATTACTCTGTATAACCCTAATGATTACAGAGTGTTTGGAAGTTCGATGCAATGCCTTGACAGGTCACCTTGTGGGATACATTTTTGAACAGGTTACCCTAACCTTATGTCTTAGAATTTCTAGTAATCACGAAAATTATGATTTTTATCATATATCCCGAAATTTGGTATTGAATCGTTCAAAACGATTAAACCGGCTACAATCAAATAAATCTACGTATATACGCACTATAGCCGATGACAGCGCTTCTAATCAGATGGCGGTACAGCATCGCAAATACGCAGGCCCCGCATCGAGTAAATCACGCAGCATGGTTCCGACCCGCGTCGCTTATCGCTCCGCTCATCAGCTCGCTCACCGCTCTAAATTAGATCGAACACGATCCCTTACAAGACTCTACCTTGTTGTGAGCGGTCGACCGATGTCCATCGGTGATTTGTCGTTTTTATGATATCG